TCTTAATAAATCTCTTCTTGAATATTTCTTTATTATAAACCATTTATTTAATTCTTTCTTTGGGAATTGTCTTTTTAAAAGCAATTCCACTTGGACACACCAGTCAAATATAAATTTGATCACAGTACTATAATATTGCTAATGAAAGATATAACTTATGGGTTGTCTCAAAATTTTGTCAAAAAAATAGTATCAGTTATAAAAAAAATGGAGAGAAGATAAAGAAGAAGAATATTATGTGAATTATCAATATAATTAATTATTGATAGATCAACATGCTTTGCAAGTACTTGAAATATTGATAATAAAAAATAAAGAAAAAAATGATACAAAAATCAAGTTATTTTAGAAGATACTGATTATAGTAAGGAGTATATTAATATAGAAGTAAACAAATGATTGTAGATAGAATAAATTAATTTATTTAAATTTAATAAAATAAAAATTTTTAAATTTAAAGTTAAAAAAATTTTTGAAATAAATATATTAATTTAAATTTTTTTATTAAAATAAATCCAGATTAATTCAAACATATTTAATTTAATAACTTGTGAGTCTATAACACAATGGTAATGCTTCTAGATCACAATTACAAGATCTAAAGTTCAATATTATATAAGAGACAAGTGAAAATACTATATTACAATAAAGTCAATACTCTATTGAGTAACAATAAAATGTTATTAGATATAGACCTGATTATCTTACTGATAATTGAAATAGAAGAATCTACTATTACATAGTATCACCTATAATTAATCTTTATCAGATAAGGCCAGTCTACAGATGTTATAAGATGATTAGTATTTTATTAGTACCTTGATAAGATAAAAGAGTATAGGGTTGATTTCACAATCAATTGAAATGAAGACTGGATTGATGTCAGATATTCTGATAAGATAGAGGAGAATGGGACTGATCTTATGATCAACCAAAATAAAGACTAGATTGATGCCAGGTATCTTGATAATCTTATCAAATACAAGAAGTTGCCACAAGTTAAAAAGATTGAAGTTTTAAAGAGAATAAATATTATATCAGTGGGATTATATAAAAACATGGTCTGAATATAATAAGGCTTATGATTAGAAAACCTTGGTGGAAAAAGAAATCTGTGAATCATGCTAAAGTTTCAAATTCAAGAACAAACTAAAGTAAATGCAATGGTCTAATAACTAGATTATTCTATAAATTGTTTTAGGAAAAATTAAGAGAGTCTTGTGTAGTTTTCCTTAATAGGTTAGTTAGTATATATAGTATGTAATACATTTATTATATATAAGTTATCATATGTACAATATTATTTTGAAGTAAATAAAAACTACAATAAAATTAAGAAAACAATAGAGCCTAGATATGTTAATTAGAAGAGGATCTCTATCCAAAACTGATATCCATTCAAGAATTTATATAGTTACTTCATAGACAAGTTGTAATAGGTTATATAAAAAGAATAATCTAGTAAAACAATATGATATCTAAGACTTTATATGGATATTTTGCAGATATACTATAATACATACTATAAAAAGAATATTTGGTAAAATAAAATATGAAAGAGGTCCTATATTATAGATCCTGAGCCTGTAAATATGAGGGTTAGGAAAAGATAACACAGATATAAATAATGGAGTAATAGAACTTCTTTTGATAACAATTCATAGAGTACATAAGGTGTTACAATTGGGTTTATGGATATAATAGTAAGATTTTTTTTTTTTTTTTTTTTAAACTAGCTCATCCTTGCGTCGAAGTAAGCAAGATTTATTTAATAAGCAAAAGACCTAGGGACAACCGGGATGAATAACTACCTGTACTGTCTAAGGATTTACAGATCAACGAATAGTACAAAGAGCTACCTATTTACATCTCATCCAACCAGGATAAGATAGTTACATGACTGTCTAGTATATGTATCTACTTACAAAACCAAACCATGAAAAGATGGGAAGTATGTAAATACACACTGTATCAATTTTCTATTCTACACCTTGATACTCCCTAGAACGCAACTATTGGCCGGCCCACCAAGCGGCTTATTGCTACACCAAAAAGAGAGGGCTAATGTACCAAGGATTCACCTGGGGTACTCAGCACCACCGATGTTGAGGACTACCCATGTGAAGCCTTAACTCCATTAGCACTTAACCAAAAAATTTTTAAAAAGAAAAAAAGGTTGTGTTTGAGTTGAGTTTTGTCTGGAGGGATGTAATGTTGTTTAACTGATCATTGCAAGTGATTCCAATGAGTGGATGAGAGTATCAAAATCCTTCAAAAAGATACTAGCCCTGAGTGTGATGGTTGTGTTCGTTGAAGAAGGAATGAGGGGTCGGATTGTTTTCTATCCAAGGTAGCCTAATCCAGCCTTATTCTTTCTGTATAGCCAATGACATACTGGTTTTCATGTCCTATATCTATCCGTGCGACTGGCATGCAACTTATGGTGGACCCCAGGTTCTTATGGGTACTGAGAAAATGCATTTAGACACGTGAGGTGACCAATAGGAGCTTGTTTACTTCTTTTACTGATATGAGCTCTATCTGTCCAATTATGGTGTGAGAAACTTTGTGCTACTCAAAATTCAGGGTCAAACTGAGGTAGGCAAAATCCCCCAAAAAAAACCAAGAATGAGCACTATGAGAAGTAAACATGATGACAAGAGAGTGGGAGGGTTGTCTCTTATCATCCACAGACTTCTATAGTATTTCTCTACGGTGTGAGATGATGGCACATCAGTTCTTCTTTCTTTCGGAACTTTCTTGCCTTTGGTAGGAAAGGTATTGCTTAACTTTCTGGTCACTAGCAATCGAGGTTTTATTCAAAGAAAGTAATAACAAGAAGGAAGGGAAGTGGTAATGACTCTTAAAGTTTTTTCAAGTTGATTTAAGGAAAGTTTTAAGACTTTATTAATATAGAAGTATGAAACCTTCTTGTGAACATCTTTTTTGTATGTGGTTAGAGGATCAGCGGAAAGAGTTTATAATTTGACTATAGCAATAAGTGATATAATAGTAAAATAGTCATAACTTACTATAGTTAAGTATAAAGATTGATTATATAATTATCTTGTAATTATTAGTTAAACTAATACTATATGATCCACTCTATTGCTTTAACAAACTGGGCTCTATTAATCCTTTTTTTTTTTTAAACCCTCTGTCAGGCTAGTTATGTGTACTTTATTAAACAATTGTAAGTTGTACATATAGTATGAATCGCTAAAGCTAAAACTTTAACTAGCTCACTCATCTCAGTAATTACTCTAAGTACAACTTTGGGAGTGATTTTTCGCTACATTAAAAAATTTGACAATCTTTTTATTATTAAATTCAACAATAATTCAATTATCAAATGTCACAATTTTGACTAGTGTTTCCATTTCTGGATAATTTTATGACAATATTTACAAAGAAATGGAGCTATCCTTGTTGATAGAATGGCCAAGAAGATATACTTTCACTGATTCAATATTTTTTGAATGATTGTTGTTGTCCCTCGGATGTGTAAAATTCCTGATTTTTTTAATTTTCAAATATTGTAAGGTAAGAAATGTTGGAATTCCTTGAGCGAATGTATCCACTGATTTCAGAAATAAAGGATCATTTTGTGCTAAGAAGTTGATCTAATATTGAACATTTTTTAAGCTTTAAAACTATGCTAGATGTACACCGGGGGTTGGTTATACAGTATATTATCATTTTTAATAATTACTGCTCAATTGTAGTTATTATTTTATTAAAAATTTTTTAAATAAATTTTATAATTTTAAAGGTCAAATTGTTTTGATACTGTATGTAACATTTTACGTTTAACCCCCCGTAGATCAAATTTTCTTTTATCAAGTAAACCGGGACCCGGAAAATTTTTGATTTAATTTCAATTAACGCTTCGAGAGTCGACCGTATAATGCGCAATAATTATTTTTTGAAAAACAAAATTAATTATCGATCGTTAATGATGATTTAATTTGATTATATAATCTACAAATCACACGTTTTTGCGTGGTCAATATTCCCACGCATGTGTGAGTGACAGTTCGTACAACAATCATATTTTCATACTATACTGTATGTATGTACATATTTTTTCATAGGTTTTAAATACAGTATGCTTAAAAAGTTGGCGTGAAGAACATAAAGCTAGGGGGTTGAGTGGAAATTCTATCATGGATTTGTAAGATCGCATAGTTAATTGATCACTTATTTGAAAAAATTTTCAGAATTGTTTTCTTCTCCGAATCGGTGAGTGAGGGATTTTTCAATAACGTTTGGGACACTGTCTCCCACTTGCTACCGTGAACGCTATCATCTTGATTATCCCTTTTAATATTATGAATCTTATTCTTATTTTGTTCAACGCTTTCATTATGACCATCATGGCTGTTACCAGAACCTCCAATGCCTGCAGTCGAAAGTGCTTCTTTAACGACCAATGCGATCGTGTATGCACGATTTGATTCATCCTCAGGTAATGGTGAATGCTCTTGAACACGATCGCTAACAGAGCGGTCATTGCAAGATGATAGAAATAATGAGAATGCTGGGGATCGCGGTGATAAGTATGGCAACGGCGAAGAATGTGATGATGTAATGCCAGAAATTTTTGGATCTTTATTTCTTGTAGTCATCACCGACGTCGGCTTTCAAAGAATCTAGACACGTGATTCCAGGAGAAGGTAAAGGCGAAGAGAAACCAAGATGATGTTTATTTATTGTTTTATATATTATTGCGAACAGAAAATTTTTTCCGATAATCACGTGCATTAATCGTGAATGCATGCAGAAAAGGATTAATTAACCAATTCGAGATGTCTAAACAAGGGCGTCTCACAAATTTTACGTGCCTAGGTTGCTTCGCTTTAAGAAACGAAATTGGAAATTTTATCGCAGATTGTTCCTAAAGTTTGCGTCGAACACGCAAATTCGAAAATTATTGTTCTTGTAAACTAAAAAATCGAAGCATTTATTATTATATCGTATGACATTTGCATTACGTATACAATCTATACAAAAATATTAATAAGCACATTTGGTTAGCATTACAAATCGGATAAGCCCGTTTATAAACTTGTCTACGCGGAAGATATCAATATTTGGAAATGCTGAATAATAACTTCATTGTTTATTCGACAAAGTAAAGTTACAACTAAAAACAATTCCGAGAATTTTTCAAAAGAAATCCAACTTCTTTATGATTAGAAACATTAACCCCTCATTTATTCGCATGCATATCGTTTTTCTACAAATTTAGTCGGATTCGTGTATAAGCCACTTTAAAAATGATAGATCATAGTCAATATCATTTAAAAGTTGCCCCGGTTACTTCATATTTGAAATAAATACACATAAGGAAAACATTCATAGTGTGTAATCGTCCGTTACACAAACCAAAGATATGAGGTAAGTGCAATAAACAGCACATTTTATTGTGCGACCCAATTTAATTATACAATATAAAATCACGTATTCCTTTTGAATTACAATACTCAATCGAGTTTACGAAATGGTTATTGATAGTTAAAAAAAGTCAAACACGTATATCTTGTCGTTAGATTTAGCCGCCAATCAAGGATCATCCTTAAATCCGAATTGTACAGGATTCGCAATATACTGTACAGAGCGGCGTAACACTGCAGTGGGTTATTGTGTCACGGATTCATTTTTTGCATTGTGCCTATAAAAAGTTGCGTTTTTATACTGTCTTGTCTTATTCAAAACCGCAGTAACGACTCCTCCATGCTATAAGTTCCCTTTATATATTTCCAATTGGATCATCTTTCATGACCAAATTCGAACCTTTTCGATTGAATTGATCCCTACATATTATTTGCTTACCCGTAGAATTTGGTTCAAACCATCCCCTACACTTTTGACCGTTTTGACAGTTTCACGTGGTTAAATACACCTATTGAATATTTCTATTAGTCATATACAGTATATACAGTATATTCAAGGCCCTCAATAAATATGTGTGGACAAAGGATTTTGATAAATGAGTTTGGAATTATTATTATTATTATTATTATTATTATTATTATTATTATTTCAATGCCGAACTGTTCTTATTTTTCTTTAGAACTGGTCATTCCAAGGGCTTTCTCCTGAGGCAACTTATTGTTTGTCACGTGATTTTTATTTGGCGGCATATTTTTATGTATGTAAATTTTTAAATTACAGTAAATCTATAGACGAATATACATACAGTATCTTCCCAAAAGAACAAATTGCATGAATTATTAATGAAGCTTTGCCATTATGGTGTAAACCCTCGAGCATGTCCAATTATTGTTTTATCGTGGTATTTCCAAGAAAATTAAAATGATGATTTAGAGTTTCATGTGACAAGTTTTTGAGTTTAATTCAAGTTACAGAAAGTGTCCATCACCACCATTTCTTGACCAATGGCCAGTTTTATTTCAAAATATTTTTTCTGTTTCATAGATATTATATGGTTCTATAGGGATGAGGAAAGTTTGCCGAAACTTGAGAGGAATTTTCTAATAATAATAATTAATAAAAAAAAACCCCGAACGAGCCGGCCCGTTTGGAATTCTCAAAGAGAGGTCACGTGATCAAACATTCTATTAATTTTTGTAATGTGTAACCAATTCTGTCTAGTAAGAAGAGAACAATCCTATTAGACATAGACATACATATACCATACATATCTGTCCATGTGTCATAAAAATAAGCTTACAAGGTTATCATAGAGAGAGAGCATAAAATCGGGGAGTATGAGTGAAAAAGAAGTTCTACAATAAATCATTCTAGATTTAGAAAATTGATTTTTTACTTATTTGAAAAGAGTTTAAGAACTGTCTCCTTCTCCGAATCAGTGAGCAAGGGATTCTTCAATATCGCCTGGGACACTGTCTCCCACTTATTGCCTTTATCACCTTCGTCGTCACCTTGAATACTGTGAACTTTATTTTTACTTTGTTCAATGCTTTCACTATGATCGTCATGGCCGTTATCGGAACTTCCAATGTTCGCACCCAAGAGCGCTTCTTTAACGACCAATGCAATTGTGTATGCACGGTTTAAATCATCCTCAGGTAAAGGAGTATGTGGACGTTCTTGATTATGATCGCGATCAGAACGATTATCACCATATGATGACAATGACGGGGTTCGTGGTAACGAGTATGGTGACGGCGACGAATGTGATGATGTACTTTTGGAAGTTTTCGAATCTCTGTTATTTGTAGTCATCTGCTTTCAAAGAATCGAGACACGTGATTCCAGGGAAAAGTAAAGGCGAAGAGAAGGTTATTTTATACATTATTGTAAAACGAATTTTCTCAGCAACCACATTATTAATCATGAATGTGCACAAAAAAGGATGATATGTCCAAACCAATATATTTCACCAATTTTACGCGCTTACCTTGCTTGCTTTGAAGAAAACGAAATTGGAAATTCTACTGCAGATTAATCTTAAAGTTTGTAGCGAAACTCGAAAAATTCAAATATTTGTCATTGAAATTAAAAAACCGAAACGTTTAATATCACAATGTATGACACTTGCATTACGTGTATAATCCAAAATTGTCAGCAAAACCATTGAAACATACATAGTAAATAAATAAATAATTAATAAGCGCATGTATTAACCATTACAAATCAAAAAGGTATCCATATACTCCTCTACGCAAAATGTAACAAGGTTTGGAAATGCTGAATAATATCTCCATTGTTCAGTTCGACAAAGTAAAATTACAACTCGAAAATTTCTTTTTTAATAAAGAAATCCTGCTTCTTTCTTGATTGGGGAAAATTTAACCCCTCGGTCATTCGCATGCATACGCTTTTTTTTTTTTCGACATATTTAATCGGATTCATATAAGACCGCTTTAAAATGATAGATCACATTCATTCTTTTTTTTTAAAAAAAAAAGTCGCCTGGTTACTTCATAATTCCTATCGAGCAAAGATTCCATACACATTTGGAAAACTTCATAGTGTGTAATCGTCAACAACGCAAACCAAATATATACAGTAGTGCCATAAATAACGCATTTCATTGCACATCCCTTTTTAATTATACGGTATAAAAACACGTATCCTCTTTAAAATTATGATATTATATTGAGTCCACAAGATATTATTGATCAGTAAAGAATAAAACACGTACGGACGGTATATCCAGTTGCGAAGTTTGAGGAGCCAATCGGATCATCAAATTAAAATATATGATATACTATATACTACATACGTATGTATACAGAACGGTAACACAGAATTTTTTATATGGTCAAATTTTCATTTTCATCTTTTATTCCATGTCGCAATAGCTGCCTTTACCAAATCAAATTCGTTATGGTTGGTTTCCGGTTCTTTGTTAATCCGGGCTACGACTTTACATTTCCCAAGACTTGAGTTCTCTCCCAGGTCTACACCTGTGAATTTGTGCATTTTCTTCTTGTAGTATTCTCCGTTCGGTAATTTGAAATTATTAAGATGCATCAAAAAATAGGATCTCCGTATCCCTTCCCATTCGTATAAATTCGAATGGCACAAATAATGTTCACGTATGCATTCCAAAACCAAAATTGACTTGTGCCTGCTCTTAAAACTTGTTTTTGTACTACCCAGAACATGGGCACAACTTCAAATATTTCCATTTGAATTGGCTCTCATGCGATACTTTTCTGTTCGCAGAATTTGTTTCAAATCCGATTCATGTGCTCCGACCCATTTTAATCATCTTGTACAGTTACACCTATCAAATGTTACTATAGAATTTGTAGATGCCATCTTACTTTTTTTTCATAGTCCCATTAAAAATGGCGCGGGCATAAGTCCGAGTCCGCGCAAACAAGTTTTTCTAAAAACAAATATACTGTATATATATTTATTATGTGATACTTCTTTCTTTTGTTGTTCTTTTTACGCAAAAAAAATGATAACGTCGCATGCCCAAACGTCCAAGCCATGATAAAAATAATTTTTTCGTAGCAAAATTTCCAAACTTTGACAAACTTATATCTCGATTATTCTATTGTTTACTTTAATTCATGGTATTCGCATACTTCTTATCATTTTTTGAAAAGCAAAGAATTTTAGAATTTGTCAAAGATTGAATGATACGTACCATGACACAGGCTACCGGAAAAATCTGACGATCAAATATCTCCATTTTAATCGGTTTCTTTCTTTCTTTTTTTTGCAAATATGATGTAATTCAGTTTTTACTTGGGAGCAGAAAATAATATTGGAATTTGAATCATAAAAAATTTTTTTTCTTTAAAAAAATAAAATTTTTCTTTAATCTACTTTGTATCTTATTAATTTTTGATTGATATACAGTATAGTATAATTATTATTTCTAAACAAAATAATAATGGTAATAATATTTCATAAATTTCAAATTCCTGTAAATTTAAATTATTTTCTAATTAATGATTCTAAGATTTAAATATTCTTATACTTGAAAAACTTTTTAAATTAAAAAAAAAAAAGAAAAAATTTTTTTCAACTCTGGATAATAGAAAAAGTATCTTTTAAATATAATTATACCTTTTGTTAAAATAATAAATATAATTAAATAAAATCTAAAAAAATTTTTTTGATAATATATATTATTTAATTGATTTTTACATATTTGTTATTTTATAATTAAAAAATGAAGAATTTTTTACTTATTTAATATAATTCTTGTAGATATAAATTTTTATTTAAAAAGGAAAAAAGAAAAATATTTTCAGTTCTAATTTTAAATTCTTTTCAATATGGCTATCTAGATTGTTAACAATATTTATTATTCTTACTTATGATAAGAGTATTAATTAAAAACTATTGTTAAAATAGAAAGTTTCCTAAAGACTTGATCTATCTTTAGAAGTTTTGTATCTTTTTAAGTAAACAGTCTATACTTGAAATTGATATTATCTTTAGAATTTAATTATTAATCTCTTTACAGATTTTTAAATACTCTCCTGATTACAGATTTCATCAAAATTTAAACAAGTAGTTTTCTAGATAGCTTTTTAGATAAAATAATATTAATAAAGTTGATTCTGAAACTATCCTCCTTCCATCTTAATAAGAAAAAAATATAAAAAAAAAATTTTTTTTTCTTTTTTTCAAAAATAAATAAATACAACAATCTAGTAAACAATTTATAAATATTAATTTTCTTCTTAATATTGATTTTTGATGAGTAGTTAGTAATAAAAAATTTTTAAATCATTATTTAATGACTTTTTGATATTCTTCCTTAGTCTAAAGCAGTAAAATATGATCTGGTAAACAGTTTAATTTTAAAAAATTAAATAATAATTTTAATAGTATCAATAATTTCAATATATTTTATATTTTACTCTATTATTACTAATAAATATAACTAGATTAACAATTAAAATACATACTATATATAGTTGCTTCCAAAAGTTTGAGTTCACTTACTATGTTTTTATTATAAATTTGAACTTTAACAATTTTTAAATTATTAACTATACAGTCAAAAATTATAAAAATTTTATATATTATATATTAATACTTATTTTATTTCTTATATTTTTTAAAAAATT